AGAGAGGGAGGGGAGGATGGGGAGGAGGAGAACCATCTCGACATTGTCCGGCAGGTTCAGCGTATGAGAGACGAACAGCATGAAATCCAATAGAGTTTCTCCCTGCCGATCCGTTACAGATCTCACCAACCTCTCGCTCCACTCGCTCCTCTCCTCCTTCCGACGCTGCCTCTGGTGCCTCTTAGTAAGCCTTCCACAGTCACCTGATCAGGAAAGCTGACGGAGACAAGCTTCAAGCTGCTAGCCCATCCCTCGATCCCACCGCTCTCTCCGTTTCGTCCCTGCCATAGCTCGCGGAAGGAGTCGCGGGTCGAGCCGCTCGTGTGGATCTCAATAGCATCTACTCTGATCAGAAGGTCAGGGAGCTGGCTGCGAGGTGAAGAGGAGGGTACGGGCTGCCTCTCAGGGAGGCGATGAGTTCCTGCGTGCTGAATGAGATCGAACGAGGGCAGGGGAAGGGGCGGCGGAGGGTGGAGAGGTGAAGTACTTGAGGGGTCCTGACGTAGTTGTTGGCGTGGATGAGCTGGAGAGGGCAGGAGGAGAGGCATCGCCCACACCCGTAGCATTTCTTCTCGTCCTGCCACCTCCCGTCAGCTGCACGAGGCCCTGACGAGGGTCAGGCGCACACCACGCCGCTTTGACTGATGGCGAGGACTGGGCATGTCGCTTCGCAGGGGCGGGGGCAGTCGGCTGGACACAAGCTGGGCCCGACCAAGGCGTCAGGAGCACGTCCCCGGTCCCTGAGCTGGGCCTCACCTGGGGTCGAAGGCTGCCTTGCGGAAGTGAGGGTCCGCATCATCGTTGATGGATACCATGATCCAGGGGCGCGCCGGCTGCAGCCATGAGCGCGCCTGCTCCGTCGTCAGCCCATTTCTCGCCAGCCTGAAGCGCCTCGACTCACAGAGGAGTACTCTTGCGCAGCTCGGATCCCCTCGTCCACCTGTGGGCGTCGATGAGGATGAGCGTGAGAGGTACAAGTTCCCTACGGCAGAGACGATGGAAGGATCAGCTGCACCTGTCAAAGTGTTGGTTCCAGAGCTCCTCCTGACTGTCCGACATCGTCTTCTCCACCGCCTCTTCTCTTCTGTCCTCCTCCTCCCCTCTTCCCTCTCCATTCCCCCTCCCTTCCCCAGACTTACAATCAATGCAGTCGACTCCTGCTAAAGTGTACGCAAAGGCCTGAGGGTACAACGTCAGCCTTAGGGCCCTTCTCCTCTCCCATTGCTCACGATGTTTCTGATCTGAGGGATGTCCTCATTGCTCGCTCCACAGATCAGCTTGATCCACGAGCCCTCCTCCAACCTAACACTCATGTCAACCTGCAGCGCCGGTCCCTTCTTGAACTAACGCAAGTTGGGGAGGCGAAGCAGCGAAGGGGGAAGGCAAACGTGCGCCATCAGGGATAGCTGTGCTGCATTTTGGTGCTGTCTTTGGGGTCTTCGTTGAGACTTTGCCAGCACACGTCCTCGTGAGCATTGAGCGGAGGCGACAACATGGTGAAACGCCCAACAACACTTTCTGAACCGGGTAGCAACCTGAAAATGAGTCCACGAGGGCGAGGAGGAGAGCAAAGATGATGCAGAGAAGTTTCATATTGCCTGTCATCAACCTCTCAGACACAGTGTGATGTGAATGATCTTGCGCTCTACTACTGGCTGTATAGCTCCCCACTGCCTGCTACGCCGGGTGCCCTACCGTCTACTAATCTCTCTTTACACAGCATCCTCAGGGTTCCTCGCTTTCTCTTGATCTATGTCATACCCTCCTCTGTTCATCTCACCTTCCTCACTCCTTCCTCTTCCTATGTTGGCAAACCGACTCTATTCTTCGACGAGCTCGCTCCACCAGTCTCCTCCTCACCTTGACCCGCCATTTGCACCGCCCACAACAGTCGCTTCGTTTTTTTTGTGCTTTCTTTCTTTCTTTTTATCGTAAAACTCCAGGCCGGCCGGGCCTGGACGGTAGTTACTTTACTGAAAGGAAGACTGCCGGGAACTGCCGGGTGCTGCTAGCTAGCAGAACAGGAGCAACACCAGCATCACAAAACGCAACCAATAAAACACTTTTTAAAAAAAAGTCTTTAGGAACAATAATAAAAGTAATTTAATTCATTACCGCTGCCTTTGCCCATGTTTGGAGACAGTATCATAGGATAACTAAAACTAATATAGAACTGACATTTCATTACCAAGAATCATACAAATATTTGTAAACCCTTTTGAGCTTTCTGAGTTACCCGGGGCTGGTACACAACAAACTGGGGGAACAGAAGCGGACCATATGTGAAAGTAACTTATTTCAGATCCTGGCTTCGTAGTAAACTTGGGGAACAGCCCCTGCAGGAGGCCAGGGGTTGACTTGAGCTTTATAGTGAAGAAACACGGGGAATAATCATAACCCCTACCTCTTTCTGACACACTTGATTGGACCCGTGATTGAAGCTTGATACCCTGACTTGACTATATCAGTTCCTAAAACCTTTTGTAAATTCCTCCACCCTACCCCGGCTGTCTGTGCTGATGCTTTTCTATCACCCCCTTTGGCCACTGTTTTCCCCCAGTTGACCCCCCACCCCCCTCAAAATCATCATGACCCTACCGCCTGTCTGTACCACCCACTTTCTCAAACAATCTTATACCTCTTTCTACCTTGTGTACAGAAACGCATACTTTCTAAGTGATAACACTATGATAAAATCAATACCCTTCAAACATTCTGTTCACACCTCCCCCACTCCCCACAATCTTCACATGCTCGTCGCTCTCTCTCTCAGGGTACCACCCAGGGACCAACGAAAATGTCCCTGGAGGGCAGCTCTGTTATTCCTCCTATACTACCCCCTACCCCCCTAAAATGAAGTAGTACGGATTCGAAATGACCCCCTTATTTGAGTCAAACTGAACCCTACCCACTGGGAGGAGTCTGCGCTTACAGCCAGTGCTCCTCTTCCCCAATTGGGACCAAAACATATAAAACTTTGTTTTTCATAATTCCGCTACAGGTTGGCTGGCGTTGTAGGGGCCCTCAAAGCCCAAGCAGACATCCTTGAGGATTGTATATGTAAACTTAAAGAAAATTGGGCTATCATTGAAGCTTTGGATCAATTGCAGCGCCTTCCTACCATCGGACACGCTATTGATAACTTCGTCACAAACCAACTCACATATACCCCTGCATATAAAATTCTGATCATCCTACAAGTGTTTTGAAACGTATATGTATTATTCAATGCTACTGAATTGGTTCACAGAGAGTAGGGAAACGTTTTTTAATGAATATTAAAAAATATAGTTTTTCAATAACTTTCTCCAACAAAGCTTTGTACCGTCTCTGAAATCTTAAAACGTGGAAGCGTTTTATAGACTGTACCTAAGTTTTCTGATTCCCAAAAGACTGTTTCTGATCCCTATCACTTTGAAGTGTGCGGTACAAACTAAACCAATTTTGTATGGAGACTTTGGTACTGTGTTCCCAACGATTGACCTTCATAAAACAAATTTAAGTAATCGGAGGGTTGTAACTTGCCATAAAGGATCTCGAGCACCCACCCCTGATTGTTTGCGATCTGGGGACGGGTACGGAAACTCCTCTGCACACCTCGATTGTGGCAAGTGCTTAAAGTTTTGTTGTTTTCAATGTTTAGTACCCGTCATCATCTAACCACAATTGATACAAAAGCATGGTGGGGTAGTACAAGACTTTCACAACTTTGAATGTCAATGTGTCCCAGGCCAAACTTTCAACACGAGGGATAAAAAAATCGATGGGGCATAGCCCACGACCACCCTACCCATTTCATTCATTCTTCGGTACCCACCATTAACTTGGACACTGATCTCATGGAAAATAGTTGGGTAGCTAAATACCCACCCTGGTATTTAGCAACTGTGATGAGACTACCCCACCTATCCATTACCACTGGGATACAGGGGGGTTAACTGACTGGTCTCATTGCAAACCGACGTCCAAGGGGGTGACGGCACCACCCACCCTCCAATACGCCATTAGGTATTGGAAACACTACGGGATCCGACCGCCTGGCCGACCCCCTGAATACGTAAGTCCTGCTGAATCTTAAACAATTGCTTTTATAATCTGCTACAAAATGGAATATAAAAGACAATATAAAGAATTTATATGTAATATAAATGTTTTTCCATGTTTTTTGAAGCTCCTGAGATATTTTCATTGGGCCTGGTAACGGGTGTCAGAAGACTTTTAGGTTGTAAAACTATTTTATCTCTACAATCCAAGTTTTTGAGAACTCCTTATTCACCCTGACCTCTCCCCCCCTCCGTCACCCTCTACTCTTACCCCGTTTGCATCCACGCGCACCACCTGTCCTTGGTCTCCTCTTTCTTGTTTTGCTTTGGCTTTCCCTCCCTCCCTCCGTCTCTTTTGCCTTGTCCTTGTCTTTGTTCATATTCCTGTTTCGAGAAATCTACCCTGTTCAATTTATTCCATTCCATCACCGAACGACGAAATGAAAATCTTTGCACTGGCGGTGTTGTTTGCCTTGGCCATGCCTGTGACTGCGTTGAACTACCAGAGCGTGCAGCCGGCATACACAGCGCAGGCTTCTGCATACGATATGAATCAGATCCATTCTCTCCCAGTGCCAAAGAACATGGAGCAGGATTATCGTGAAATGCGCATTGGTACCCCCTACGATGAGGAAGAAATGTACCACGTTGCCCGTGTTGCCTCCATTCGTGGTGGTATGGGTGAGATTGAAGACTTTGAGAGCGAATACAAGAGCATGAGAATGGGCAATGTCTTCGAGGACAACGAGATGTTTTCAGCTCCACGCGTGGAATCAATGCGCGGTGGGGCGGCTCCCCACCACACTTCTTCGTTTTACGAGAACCAGTACTCGCAGTATAGAATTGGCTCTGTATTCGAAGATGAGCTTCCTGCTCCCGCACCGGCTGGCTTCAAGAGAAGCCTTTCACTCCGTGGAGGAGGAGCTGATGACTTCGAGAAGGAATACCGGGAGATGAGGATGGGCTCCTTGTTCGATGAGAACGAGATGGAGGCTCCTCGCATCGATTCTCTCCGTGGTGGTGGTGAGGTCAATTCAAAGGATGTTGAGAAGAGCTATTCGGAACTGCGCATCGGCTCTGTCTTTGATTAATTAGTTACCGCGTGTGATGATTTACATTTCTTTCTTATAATGTTATTGTGTATAGTTAGTAAAACTTGGAAATCAGCCTGCAGAGTATGAGGTTACAGCGGCTGCGTTCGAGCATCTCAGATTCACGATAGTAACACATTGAGCCACGTATCGAGGATCGGACCGTCCGAGGTTGCGTTCGAGCATGGCACTGCGGCACGATCATGATCCTGAGTACTGTGACACACTGGGCCTCGGAGTACGGTCGTGGCAAACTTTCAGTATCGAGGATCGGATCGGACCGTCCTCACTGTCATGTTCATTAGGTTTGGTTCTCGCTGTCTCTTCTCGCCGTTTGGCCAGTGCGACAGTGTCAGGGTCAAGCCTCCTCGAAAGTTCCGAGCCCAGTGGAACTGGGACTCCCGGACTGGCGGGTCCCGAACCGCCGGACCCAGCCCGGCCCGATCACCACACTGACAGCCAGTGACGGTGAGACGCATACCCGGCGTGGAATCCCCGGGAGCCCGGTTTGTAGCCCCCGGTTTTTCGAAGCCTCGTTTACCGTTTGCGGTAGGGGTGGGGCCGAGCCAGGTCAGGGGTGGGCGGCCAGGGGGTGGGGCGAAAGTGCGAAGTTTGAGGGGGGATGAGGGGATCCGACCAACAAAGGAGAATTGGTTCGCTTATGAAGGGGGGTAGGGTGGTGATTTGGGGGTGGGGTACAAACAAAGATTTCAATGCCACCTGGCGAGGGTGCAACTGGTATCAAATTACTACTACCTCTGTCCTGGTATGTCATCGACCCTGGGAAGGGGTGGGGGCCTTGTTGCCGCCAACGATGGGTGGGGTGGTGCAAGTTTGCCCTGGGGTGGGTGGGGGTAGTCACGGGGGCATGCGGTGAGGGGGACTGGGGGAAGGGTAGCAAAGGGGATTACACTACCCCCACCCCACTTTTGTTTCACATAACCCCATGAAATGATGGATAAATCACCCGTACTTACCTATGTGATACCAACCCCCACTCCTATTAGTACCCCTGCTTCAGGATAAGTCTGTATCCAAGCTTTCGACGCTCATCAGGACCCTACCCCCTAGGCTTACTACAGCCCCACCCCACTCTACCTTTACCCCACCCCTCCGAGACTTCACTACCTTTCCTCCCAAAGCGTCGCCTTGGAGGACCCCAAGTTTGCCTTCAAGTCAACTCGAAAGACCCCTCCGTTTATCACCCCCACCCCTGGATATGGCTCCACTATCCTACCGCTATAAACTATCAGTTCTGTATTCTCTGCAATCAACCCCACCCCCCTCAACGACCACCCCTCTTTTGTAATATACACCCCTCCTTTCCCCCTTTTGTACCCCGTCATATCTCGTATCTCAAGAAATTGTACACTACCCACCCATACTTTTGGTATCCCAACCCCTGAAAGGAGGACCCCACCTCCTAGTGGTGTGACTTGCTATGGCTGCAGGGAAGGAGTGGGAGGGCAACATGCCTCGTCCCCTGCCTCTTCCTCCTCCCCTCCCTTCCTCTCATCCCCTTGGAGCCAAGGACTATCCTTACAGCTGAACGCCCGACGCCTCTCTTCCTCCCCATCCGAGACTCTCACCCCTACAGAATCATTTCCTTGCCCCCTTCACCTTACTCCTCGTCGAGCTTTACCTCCATACTTTGTTTCGAACCATCTATCTCTTCTGGTTCCCTTGCGTTTGTGCTCATCTTGATTAGACTGCTACCTCTCGTTGAGCCTCTTCTACAACAAACTTCAAACACTCGATCTTCGCTTAAATTCAAGAAAGCCAGATACAGAACCATTGTTTTATTTCCGGTCAAGTGAAGCGCCTCGCCGCCAGTTCCTTTGGCCGCCATCTCATTTATCTTTTATTGGTTCAAAGATTCAGTTGATTCCTGGTCAAGTGATCTTGGAGCTTGGAAAGCTGATTGTTTTGTGCTTTTCCGAGATTTTGGTAGATTCTTATCAATGCAGGTATAATCAGCATGCTTGAGGAATGTTTGCATGCATGAAAATTGTAGCAGTTTTTGCATCATGTTTGATGTCTTCCTCCAATGCTCTTCTGTTCCTCATCATCTCTGCAGGATGCAAACACTGGGTTCTTCCAACAATAAGACATAGCGAAGGATCCGGATAACCTGAAGATGGAAATATCCGGGGAAAAACGAAAGCAAGACGCTCCTATGAGCGCTCATGACTCAAACATGGAGAGATCTCCTTTTTCACCGGCAAACCGAGATGTACCTTGGCAAACAATCAAGGTGCCAAGGAAGAAAGGCTCGTCAAAGAGTATCATGTCAGTCACAATCACTCTGGTTGTGCACTCGATAGTTGATACTCTGCAGTGACGAGCTTTACTCCATTCCTGCGGGTGTAGTATCTGCAGCTCCGCCGATTCAACAGGTCCTCTTGCACCTTGATCTCCTTTTCATGATGTCAGTCATGGCAGGGTTTCGAAACTTCTTCACTCCCCCTCCAAATGAATTTCACCAACGGCAAAGACTCTCACCTAACCAGTCAGAATGGTGGTGTGAGTGTAGATCTCTTGAACAGGTGGGCTGTGAAGTAGGTTATGATCACATTTCACTAAAACCTGCTTGTATCAGATACAATGTAAACCAACAAACAATCCAGTCACAAGTAAGATCGTGTCGCCTCTTTTCAGACTTGAGACAGAATAATTTGCGTTGTGTAGATGTACATACTTTCGCAATTGGCAGCATATCAGGCTAGTCAGCAGCATCAAGATCCTCTCGTTATGCCGGTACGTATCCCTTCGCTTATTTACCATGACGATTGAGCGCTGAGTTGGTAGGGGTGGAACGCGCAGAATTTTCAGATGAATGAGAGAAATCTGAATTTCAATGCTCTTTATCAGGTGAAGAAGTTTGTCAGGATTGTTTTTGTTCAGCTGACATGTTGTCATAGGGAGCAGGGAATACCTTAACTGCCACACAGGTCTGGATCTTGATATTTGTGTGTGGAACATTACAACATGTCGCTGAACCTGATGCCTTTCAGAGCATGGGAGGAGTGAATAATGCTTGCAATGGAATGAGCAGCACTAGTCAGGTTGAAGATCTCCTTTTCATGTAGAGTTGATCCCTGAGCTTTGCTGCAGTCATTTGTAGGGATGCAACCTCCCTTCCTCAACCAGAATCTCAATGTAGGAAACTTCAAGCAAGTCTGGCATCAGAATGACTCCGTGTGGAACTCATCAAATCAACGCAACCTCCCGATTTTCCCACCAGCCACGTTGAGCATGAATATGAACTTGAATGTCAACAGCGGGGGTTTGTGGAATGTTCCAATGAATGTGGGAGCCGGGATCAGATTCCATGATCACCAATCGCATCTTCAATCCCAGCCAGTATGTCAACAAGAGAGTCTTCACATCCCCTCGACATATTCCGAAGTTTGTTCTTCGAACCAGCCTTTGTGTCCTGTCCAGCATGCAAAGACCGGATTTTCGGCCTTCTCTAAGGTGACCAAGATGAAGAAGCAGAATGGACATCAACAATGTCAAGTTGGTGAGCGGGGAAGCAAGAAGTCAAAACCTCTGTTGAAGCTTACTCGACAGGTAAGAAAATGATTCTCAGCATGATGTGTCTGATACCTTGTTTTTCTTTTTGCTTCCGACTTCCCTTGCTTCCTTCCTTCCAACCTTCATCGTGCGCTTCATTACCAGTTGTTGCCTACATACAAGGGGATCAACAGCAGGTATTTCGTAAGACAGAGCAAAATCCTTGGGCGCAAAAGAATCTACAATGAAGGCTTCGACGATGAGGCTGGCGATTACATCGTTCGTGCAGGAGACATCATCAATGAGAGATATCAGATATCAGTGAAGCAAGGGTCAAAGACTCCTATCTTGGGAAAGGGATCGTTCGGTCAAGTTGTATATGCCTTGGACCTGATCGAAAACTTGGGGGTTGCACTGAAGATCATCAAGAACCAGAAGCATTTTCACGAGCAAGCCAAGACAGAGATCGAGCTGCTCAAGAAGTTTCTAAGAGTTCCTGTGCCAGACTCGATCCCAATCTCAGAGTCGATATACAACGGGGGAAGATACCTACCTTGCACAGAGTGGGTGGAATATGCAAATGTTGTTAGGATGTTAGATACTTTTATTTTTCGGAATCATCAGTGCCTGGTCTTCGAGCTGCTTCCGATGTCTCTCTACGACCTTTTGAAGTTGTCCAAGTTCAAGGGCTTCCCCTTGTCTCTCGTCCGGAAGTTCGCGAGGAACATCTTGCACAACCTGGAGGCTCTGCGGGCACCGGAGGTGGATGTTATCCACTGCGACCTGAAGCCAGAGAACGTGATGCTCATCAAAGCGAACGAGCACAGGATCAAGGTGATCGACTTCGGATCAAGCTGCTCCTCGGGTTACAGACCGTTCACGTACATCCAGTCTCGATTCTACAGGTCTCCGGAAGTTCTTCTCTGCCGCTCCTACTCGTATGCAATCGACATGTGGTCATTAGGATGCATCATGGTTGAGATGCACACTGGAAGCCCGTTATTCAATGGGAAGAACGAGTACGAGCAGATGCAAAAGGTTCGCTGCTGTTTCCTTCTCTCTCTCATTCCCCCCCTGTACCTCTCCTCCTTCCTCGTCCTTCTCACTCAGTTCCCTGTGCCAGCCCTGTTGCACTGGATTCCTCCTCACTTTTCTTCTGACAGATCTGCGAGATGTTCGGGTTCCCTCCAGACCATATGCTGCAGCAGGCAGGTTCCAAGTCGAAGGTCAAGAACATGTTCCGCAAAGGGAGCAACGGAGGGTGGAGGATGTGTTGGCCGGGAGAGCGCGAGATTGTTACCAAGTCAAGGATCATGCGTGAGGTCATCAGGAAGCCGAACTCGACAGAGACGGAGCAGACGTACATGCTGCTGGAGGACTTGCTAGAGAAGATCTTGACTCTCGACCCGGAGGTTCGCTGCACGCCTACTGAGGCTCTGCGTCATCCTTTCTTCACTTCCAATCCGTAGACGCCAGAGGGTAAATGAAGAAGGGCAGGGGAGAGGGAGAGGGAGAGGGAGAGGGAGCTCGCGTTGATCTTGAGATGGTTGTAGATACTGGGGACTGATTCCAGCGCCATTGATGGCGGACGGACAAGGGGGACGAGATGAGGACTTGAAGAGCTGAGGGAAGAGTGAATGGGAGGAGGATAGCTCATGAAGTCGATGTCAAATTACAGCCAAAGAGTTGCTATCATTATTCAAAAGTACACCGTCGATTACTCAAGACAAAAAAAAAACAAGATTTTCACAAAATTTTCTTAATTCTGTTGTAAATCCGACTCGTCTAGTATCTAACCATCGGCATCGTCTTCTTTCACATCGCGTACTTGCGGGTCCACTCCTTCGCTGTGTTGATATATTTTTCCCTGTCAGTCTTGTAGATTTGCGCGATCTCGGGTACAAGGGGGTCATCTGCGGAAGATCAGGGGAGAGGATAGAGGGCACAACTACCCTTACCAGGGTTGGGGTCAGTCAGCAATGAAGACAACGATAGCAAAACTTTCGAGATTGTCAACGCCGGGCTCCACTGGTCCTTCAAAATATCCAGACAAATGCTCCCATTGGCGTTTATGTTGGGGTGATAGATGCGCGTTGTGAATTGAAGTTTAGGGGGCTGAACACAAGCATTAGCACGTAATCACCAAGAGCAAAAGCAACAACCTTGAAGGGATAATCTGCAGGGAAATGAATGTTCAAAAAGTATACTCCACCAGCATATGGGCTATCTGAAGGCCCCATAATGGTAGCCTGCCATTGAAACAAATCGTCTCCTACAGGTCCTGCGCTGCAGTTGGATGGGGGATCTTTCTGCAAATCCGCCAATTCCTGCCGCAAGATCAGATATGAAATCATGAGTGCAATCCTGCAAAACTCAAGCAAAAGGAAGGAATTTCAAATAGTGAAATGTCATCTCGAATTGTGATTGAAAGAACGCTTTCAAAACTTGAACAAGATGCTGTGCATGGAACAAGTTCTTACAAATATTCGCGCTCATTACACATTCTTCAGCCACACTTTATGAATGCTCCTCAAGTGAAGATGGCAAAGACATGGTGTGAAGACATCAGAACAATCTCACAGAAGGGGAAAACAGCGAAAGACTGATGAAGATTGAGACGAAGAAACAGTGTGCAAGACTGTGAGGTATAGAAACAATTGAACTCTCTCATCATAAAAAGCAGGTTCCCACTGATTCCACATTCAGTCATTGCGACAGGTATAACACCAAACATGATTTACGCAAATGTTGTAAAAGGATCATGATTTTCAAGGCTGGCAAATCGGTGCAGTAGAAAAAGCAAGAAAGGTAGACAAAATCGTAACAAGCGCCCAGCTGACGACAAAAAAGAGGGGTTGCGAGGGTGAGAGTAAAAGCTAGCCGCAAAATGAAGCAGAAAAAACGATTTTAGGCTGAGAAAGCCAAAGGGAGAACAAGCATCAGGCCCATCCATGACCTTGCACACTCAAGCTAGGAGACACAGCAAATGTAATGATTCAGCAACTCAACCATGTAATATAACCAATTGAGGTTTGTGTGGAGCTCCAATGTGACAAGTAAGAGTAGAGTAACAGTGGAATCAAAGCGTTTTCATAACCAATGCTGTAAGGAGAGGATGAACGAAAAGAAATGCATGATAAACTGCAATTTAGACAGAGCATGTGAAGAAAGGATGTCGCAATAAGAACATCATCATTTACACGGTGAAAGCTCTTAAAACACTAAGACTTTGGATTACGCGAAAGAGAGCAGTGTGGGTACATTGTTAGCTCCAAATTTCATCCTTTCAGAAACAAGCAAATGGAGATAGATCATGTTCATGAGACACGGAGCTGACTGAAGCCAGAGAAAGAATCAAAGCCCAAGCTGTAACGGACAAGGACAAACACAAGAACAAGGGTGTCGAATGCTCAACAGGGGTAAAAGAGCACAGGAAGAAAGCAGATGTGAAAGCGGAGAGTCAACTCAATGAAGGACAATGAAAGTACTCGATCGTGTGGATGGAGGAGGAGCCTGTGAACGAGAAACACGCTCATGCGCATCGCGCTACCTTGTTGATTCGCTTCAGCGCCATTGCTTCGGTGGTGTGACGCGGAGATTCGGGGGGTGGGGGTAGTAGCGAACGAAGGCCCGTCGGTGGGTACTCGTCAAATTTTGGAGGGGTGGGTGTGAGGCTTACAGGGGGTAGGGTAGAGAAAAGAAAGAGGGTGGTTCTCTACTTGTTGCTTGATCCGCGTGTAGAAAACTAGGTAGGGTGGTATAGATTACGATTACTACCCGGTTGAACGAGTTCAACAAGGGGGTAGTCAAGTTTGATGGTCATGCTAAGAAAGGGTAGGTTATCACAGTTCCATTAGTGGGTGGATCGACTTGAACTGTGGGGGTAGGGGTAGGAATTTGAGACTGGTGGAAGGGGGTGGGGTATGATGATACTTTGAGATCTCAGGTTGAGGTGGGGGGTGGTCGATGAGAGTTCAAGACTTTCGATCACATTGAGGGGTGGGGTGGTATGAGTCGGCTAGGTGGGACAGATGGGGTAGCATGGGGTAGTGGTGTAGTTTGATAGGGTGGGGTGGTGCAGAAAGGACATGGTTGGGTTTCCCAATGTACCCTACCGTTTCCACCTAGGCCCCACAATGACTACCCCACCCTCCTAGTGAAATTCGTTCATGACCCCACAGAATGGTAGGGTGAACCCTACCCGTGTTCAGTTGTCATCCCATAGATACTATCTGTGACACGAGCTACCCCCTTCGATTGAATCAGTACCCTACCCCCCTTTATCAAGCACCCCCACCCTCCTTCACTGCTTCCTACCTCTCATCACCCACATCCCCACTCCAGTACCCTTGTCTCCCTACCACCTATCAACTCCCCACCCCCCTTGAGGACGAAATTATGAGGTGTCCTCAGTACCCCACCCTATCTAAGATACGGATTGTGAGAGCCTTCCAGAGGGGGTACAATACATGACCCACCGAGAAAAAGCCAGTGGTAGTGAGCTATAAAGGTAGGGTGGGGTGGTGATTTGAGTGAGTGGGCTGAATGTGAAGAATGGGGGTCAGTGACCCAGGGAGGAGGGGAAGGGGGGGGGGAGGGGTTCTTGGATGAGGATAATGACGGGTAGGGTAGGGTGCTCCTACATGTGGAGTATTCTGTACGGGTGGGGTAGCTTTTCAAATAAAAATAATTTACACATGTCGTAAAATAGAATCTGATGTTTTATACAGTACCGCTAACATTTGAATTTCAATTAATATGTTTTTGAGGAACATCGTGGTACAGTTGATAAAGCCAATTAATGAAGGCGTACCAAAACAAATTTGTACCAATTAAATTATATGTACAGGAAATATTACCAGCACGAGACTTGAAGTACGGAAAGATTAACTACCAGTGCTCACAGTCAGTACTGCAGCAGAACCCTTGTTCCAACGAGAAGCTTCGAGAAGAGAAGCGCCGTCAGCAAAGCCTGGTCAGCAGTGGGGACGAGGGGCCGGACCCGCCCGGGACAGGCTTCTGAGTGTCCGTCACGGTCAGCCTGCCGCCTGATCATGCCGCAGTGCGGAACTCAGTGTCGGCCCCCGAACACAGCCCGGCGGGCCGCTGTGGAGCCGGGCCCCGGCGGCGTACTATCGCAGTGACCGACTCCGCCCAGTCGGCGAGACGCGCGGCCGCCGGGGCCCACCGTCCGATGGGCCACGCCGGGCCCGGGCTCGGGCCCGCCGGTCACTGACCGAGGTCACTAGCCCCGGCTGACTTGAACGGCACCGGCGGGCGGCGGCCCGGCGGTCAGTGACCCGAACAGATTCATGATGGGATCCAGCATGACGGAGCGACTGTACCTCGAGGACAGCTACAGGTAGAGCAGAGAGAGGGGAGGGAGCAGAGCAGAGCAGAGCAGAGCAGAGCAGAGCAGAGCAGAGCAGAGCAGAGCAGAGCAGAGCAGAGCAGTGCAGACAGTTCAGTGGAGACAGCAGATGCAAGATTTCAGCATAGATACGAGGTCCAGGAGGGAGAGGAGAGTTGGGTCAATGG